AGAGAAACAGATTATGCTCCACCTGCACCCTCCTCCTCCTGCCCCTGAAAACTTCTCGAGTAACCGAGTGTGGGGGACTTTCTGTCCTTTCCCCTTCGTGGACCAGAAGGATTATTTTTCAGGATCTTGGGTGTCAGGTGGAAGCAGAAAACAAAATCTCCAGAGATCGTCTCTCCCCAGAGAGATGTCACGTTACCTAATTAGTCATTTCTTGTCTACTGTTTTTGTCATTAAGAATTTATATCCAGAGACCCTGGGTGGCTCAGTCGGTTAAGCGACCGACTTCAGCTCAGGTCATGATCTCATGGTTCATGGGTTCGAGCCCCGCATCGGGCTCTGTGCTGACAGCTCGGAGCCTGGAGCTGCTTTGGATTCTGTGTCTCCCTCTCTCTCTGCCCCTCCCCCACTCATGCTCTGTCTCTCTCTGTCTCAAAAATGAATAAACATTAAAAAAAATTGAAAAGTAAATAAACGAATTCATGTCCTGCCAAGGTCCCTGTCTTCTCGTGGAGGACGGTGGCTCGTAAACCCCAGCAGACCTTGATCTCCACGAGGGTGGGTCTGGGAAGCTTCGCAGTGTCCTTGTTCTCGGTGACTTCTGCAGAGCAGGTTTCTGGCACTCACCGTATTCCATCCATCTCCTGCGCATTCGTACTTAACCTTCAGCTAACGGAAGCCTCTTCCAGAATGAGCGGAGTGGCCTTTGCCCACATTTGCTTCCGTGGTTCTCAGTTTCATCCAGAATCTTATCTTTATTCCAGTTCATACCTTGAGGAATGTCGACTTCCAAGGTGATCCTGTCCTGGGAAGCACTTTGCTGTCCCGGAAGCAGTTTGGAAAAACCCTCATGCTGCTGATAATGCGCCCCGACCCCAGCAAGGCTGCCCTATTCCCACACCTCTGAAACCCTCTCCGAAGAGAGGTTCCCCTGGGCACCAGTGGCCTTTGCCCTTGAAGCGCTTACGCCCTGAGTTTTCTTTCTACAAGCTGCGGGGCGGGGCCTCTGCTTCACGGCTCGCTAGCCACTGCTACCTGAAGACTCAGCAGGAGCCTCAGTTTCCTCACCTACAGAGTGAAGAATTTCCACAACATTGATTCTTGCTTTTCTAGGGCTGTGGTGAGAATCCACATTCATCGGGGTAGAATGTCGATCTGGGAAGGACAGTGTTTATCCTGCAGTGGCCGCCATCACCAGCTGGACACTGAGCCAGACCCCCCGAAAGGTCGCTGCGCGCTTAGTTGGGGTGGTGGCGAGGCAGGCTGTGTCCACAGTATCTGAAGGCACCCCGACAGCCCGTGTGCCTTAACGGAACTACTCCCCCTTGAGCTGCCCTGGGTCCCTCTTCTCGTTCACTGGGCTGGGTTGAGTGTAGGACCAAAGTTCTCTTTCTTCAAATGTGAGATTATCTTCAGACACAGAGTTCAGGCTCTTCCCAGGGGCAAGACGAGGAAGCCACCACACCCTGTTGAGGGATGTCCCTGCACGGTGACAAGGGCAGATCAGGAAAGCAGGGTGGTTGTGGTGGGGCACCCGGTCTGGGAGGCAGAGCTGGGGCCCCCACCACCATGTGGCCACTCCCTATTTGTATCACCTGTGGCAGTGGCTCCCCAGCTGTTTCTCCAGTGTCACATGGAGACGATAATCCTCCAGGTCTGTGAGCATTCGCACAACCAGTGTATGGCAGTAAGCAAAGCACCGGGCTCGTCACAGGGTCTTGATTCATGCTAGTGATTTTCTGTGTCTATAGTAAGACATCTGCACACCTTCAGTTCAAATCTGATGGCTGATTCTTCTAACCAAGTGACCCCGACTGACCCTCATTCCCCAAACATACACACACACACACACACACACACACACACACACACACACGGCAAAAGCTTAATTCTTCCACATAACAAGCATTTACATAGTGGATGTGTCACACCATGGTAGGAATTGGTGATGCGAAACATGAAAATCTTCCATAAATAATGTTAATTTCCTAAATCCCTAGATCAAATTGAGTCCACTTGTCAGAATCTTTCAAACACACTCCTTCACATCTTGGGCCTTTCGTAAAAGTTGTGCTAAGTGGAGAGATCCTGAGGAGTGGGGACAGACTACATCCTGCTGAGTCTTTTGAGTGTGGTGAGAAACTAAGTAAATGCACATTCTGGGTGGATTTTTTGAGTCCATGACAAAAACGAATCAGTAGAATAGAAACCGGTATTAAAAAGGACGCAGATAATTGTCCAGAGGAAGACGTGACTTTTGACTTTTCCCACATGGAGAATTCTCTCCCATTTTCCTTGGTGGCGCCAGAGCCCTGCACACACAGTCACTCACCAGCGTCTCTGGCCACGTGAGCCGTGACGCAGGCAGGGAAGCGGTCAGGCCCCGTGCAGGTCATGGGTTCTGGGAAGAAAACGGGGCTGGGGCGAGTTTGGTGGTCGGGGGTGGACGCAGGGATGGGCATTCCTGGTCGGACCAACATCCTCACCACAGCTGGGACTCATTATGGGCTTCACATCTTGTCAAACACTCCCCTCTACAATTTCTGAGCCTTCCCGTTTATCCTTAAGAAGTCGTGGGGAGGTATTTTTACCCTCGTGTTCCCATGAGGAAACGGGTGCCCCGGCCTGTCACGTGCCCAGGTAACAGCACACCTGGCCCCTGTTTCCAGGTGGCCCGGACCACCCCCCGCCCCCCAGTGTGGGCCCCGTCCTGGAAATACACACCGGAGTGATGTAAGGAAGGGAACAAGTTGGGAAAACCAAGTGATGAGCACTGACAGCTGTCTTTTAAATTTAATTTTTATTTTTTTTAATGTTTACTTCTTGTTTTGAGAGACAGGCATAGAGAGAGAAGGAGATATAGAATCGGAAGCAGGTTCCAGGCTCTGAGCTGTCAGCACAGAGCCAGACATGGGCCTTGAACTCATGAACCATGAGATCATGACCTGAGCCAAAGTCGGACGCTCAACCGACTGAGCCACCCAGGTGCCCCGTGACTGCTATCTTTAAATGGCTGAGTCAGTCACTGGCTCGGACGGCCCGGTCCCAAACGGAGCACTGGGCACACGTCTCCTGGTCTGGCCGCGCTGGCATTTCCGTCGCCCCCAAGGGACACCTGCACAGGCTGAGCTGCAGCCAGAGCAGCTCCCCGCTCCTGTGCTGCCCGTCGGTACCGTCCCACCTCTGGGGCCGAGCAACTTGGGTTCCTCTGACTCTTTAATGTTGGTGAACGTTGCCATCCAGATAATCTGGGAGGGAAACAAATCACGTGCCTATATATACAATACGCATACGGATTTATCCGCTTAAAAATGGGTTTCTCCGCAAGAGCGTTCTTTGGGGCTATTTCCGCATTCCAGATGAGCTCAAAGAATCAAAGCCCAACCAGAGTATGGACGCCTGTTTCGGGGAGGGGGGCTTCAGCAACAGGAGCTCCTGGACCCCACCTGGAGAGTTCCTCCCCTTTTGTTCTTGTCTGTCTCCTCTGATTGGCCTCGCCAGGGCAGGACTGTCCACCTGTGGACCAGACTCCCTATTAGAGGCTGAGCTGTGTCCCCAAGAAGGATGTTGGAGTCCTGGCCCCCAAGACCTGTGAGTGGGGCCTTACTTGGGAAGTGGGTCCCTGAAGACAATCGAGTGAGGATAAGGTCAGAGTGGGCAAGGGCGGCTCGAATCCAAGGACTGGTGTCCTCGTAAAGAGGAAATCTGGACACAGACACACACACAGGAGACACCATATGAGGATGACAGAGACTGAGGCAGTGCATCTACGGGGTAAGGAGGCTGAGGGACTGCCAGCCAAGCATGAGAGGCCAGGGAGAGAGGGTGGGAACAGACTCCTCCCCAAGGTCCTCAGAAGAAGTAACACTGCGGACACGCTGATCACGGACTTCCAGCCTCCAAAACCATGAGAGAACACGCTTCTGTTGTTTAAGCCCCCCAGTCTACGGGAATCTGCATGGCAGCACAAAACCCACTCCCCACAGCTTTAGAGCTGGGCTCCCCAGCTCCACGCACTGCACCCCGAGGCTGGACACTTGGGTAACTGCTACCCCGATGGACGAGATGGACCAACTTCCTGGACTGGCCACTCCCTCGAACATTCCTGCCCCGAGTTTTATATAGCTGACGCCTACTCATCTGCAAGGTCACGCACGGCCTCTTCGCAGCAGCCGCCTGGCCGGGTGCTGTGCGTATGCATGCCCACCACACAGTACAGGCCACACTTAGTCCTGTCGCCAATCGGCACAGCTGCCTCTCCTCCAGACTAGGGGCTCTCGGCGACTAGGAATAGTGTCTGTGGTGCCAGCAAATCACCAGTTAACAAAATACACCCACTGTGATGTGCACCTTAAGCTTCTAAGGATGGTTTTTAAAATGTAACCACAATTCGGGAAATAGTTGCCCCCCGTTAGCCTGCTGTTAATAAATAAGGCACATATTCTCCCACAAAGTTTCAATGAAGCAAATGAAAATCAAAGAGAGTTACCAGAGTTACTACGAAGACAAGCGTAATCTGTACTTATTCCTCTTTTCCTGGGAGGCAGAGGATGCTCATGGATGGTTATGACGCTGCCCGTGACTTCCGACAGGCTTGTAAGTATTTGTCTCGGGCACGGAAGCAGCCAACGGGGAGATGCTTTCTGATGCCGCGTTACCCGGCTGGGACCACGAGGAGGAGAGGGGAGTGTGTGGCCACCTACCCAGTGACCCAGCGACTGTGTGGCACCAGGAGCTGTGAACACTCCCAACAGAGAAAACCTCAGAACAGAAACTCAGCCTGACAGTGATGGGAGGCCCCACCCCCACCCGCCCTCACTCCCGTCTCCCATCATGCCCATCGTCGTATTCTCAACCCCCGGGCCAGAAGTCAAAGAAGAATGTACAAAAGATGGAGCCAGACCGGATTTACAAAAGTAACCTGTATTCCAGCCAAATCTCTTTAAAGAGAAAAATCCCTTTTCTAAAGGGGGGTGGGGACGGACAAACTACATAAGACACGATACATTTAAAATATGTATTGAAATTACAAATCAAACTTTTCCATGTGATTCCAAAGTACAAAACACAACATTAAAAGGCATTCAAACAGCTCTTTTATACATCACAGTGTTAGTGGCACAAAATGGACTGACGCGTCAAAAACGAGAACCGAACTTTTGTTTTCACCACCATTGTCAAATACATACTGTCTACGTGTGCATGACCCATTCATGCATATTTTTATACAAGAGTAAAAATACACCCATGGTAAAATGAGCAAAGGACGAAGGAAAGGTCAGGCGTGTGGCTGGTACTTACCCCTGACCCCAGGCTCCCAGGAGCGTGGAAGACGAGATTATACGATCCGAAGGAAGAAGGGAGCCTGTGGGACTGTACCAACCAAAACGGCATGCTCTCCTACTAGTGACGCATTAGCAACTATATGTGGTGCAGGCCCTTCATTCCATTTGGCATTTTTGGCAATACCAGTCATAACCTCTTCGTTTTGTGTATGTTCCTAAGGGCTTGGGTTAATTATAAAGAATAAACAAGCTTTGGTATTTTTTTTAAAGAGACCTTCATGAAGCTTTATACATGCAAAATGTTTTCCCTTGATGAGTTCACTGTGATATATATATATGTATACATATATATGTATATATATATACTTATATACAGGGAGATTTATTAATAAATGAGAATCTGAGAAGTATACAAAAAGCCCACCCTGGTTCTTTCCAATCTCCTAATTTTTAAAGACTATCAAGGGAAAATGTCCTCTCCTAATTTCTTAAATAACTTTGAACTTTGCAAGCAAGATAGATGAAAAAGATAGACTCATCTTGGAGTAACTTGGGGATATGAGGCTCGCGTTCCCCACGGGCCCTGAATTCCAGGGTAGGAATCGGCCTGGCTCCTACACTGGTTTTTAGGGAATAATATGCCATAAAGAGAATTTGCTCCTCTTTGTGGAGGTCGGTTCCCCAGGCCACGGCCACTCCCGCGGGTGAGGGGGACCCAATAGGGCCAGTGGTCATGCCCTCCCAGGGCCTGACTAGGCTCAGATCCTGAGTCAACCTCTGCTACGTGAATGTCTACGCGACTCCTCCTCAGAGCACACGGGCCTCTCGTGACCGCTGCAGAGCTCGAGGGCCAGGCTGCAGGGGACACGACGGAGCCAGACTGAGAGACGGGGCATGTCCCGCAAAACCACCCCACGGGGTTGAAGGGACTCAGGTGACCCGCAGGTCGGCCGCGCCCTCCAGGGCCACCCCAACCGGACACCGGCTGAGTCAGCCATGATCTGAGGACCTTCTTCCCTCCTCGCCAGGATTTCAAGGCCTCTCAGGGATAAACGTATGTGCTTCCAGAACGTCGGCATGAAGACCATCCATGAAAGGGCGTATCAGGTTAAGACAAGCTAAGCCACACAGCAGCCTGCCTACTGAGTGCAGAACTCCCCAGGGTTTGCCAGGGAGGAAGGGCAAGGTTAAAATCCAAGACGTGGGCCATCTCCCCACGTTCTGTTTACATTTTACATCAGGCGTGTAAGTGGTGAGTCCTGCACCCCCACGAACCATGGGGATGGCATTCCCTACTGAAATGAATGGGGTCTGACGGGGGGAAATGCAGGATGTAAGGATCGCAATGCAGTCCCGCTGGTGTCTTCCCCGAGAGCAGATGGTGTGGCAGCTGTGTCACCACAAAATCAAAGTGAGGCGTGTGCGGTGCAAAAACTCGGAGCAAACGGGAGCCAGTGTGGCTGTGCCCGGCCCCAGAATCTTCGTGGTCCCCACCTGGGTCCAACCACGCGCGTGTGAAACATGTCGGGGGTGAAGGCACGGGGCTGGTGGGGGCTACGGATGTGTAGGGCCTGCTTACGGATTTCTCCGGGACAGACGAACAGCCCAACCCGCTAAGAACAGAGACCTGAGCTCCAGCCCCGGGAATGCATCCTTCCCAAAGGCTCCGGTTCCACCTCGAGGAGAAGGGAACTACCATGTGGACTTGTGGCCGTGTGCAACGGGGCCGGGATGGGCTGAGGTCTGCCCTTCCTGGGTCACCATGGAAACAGAGCCACGAGCCTGACGCCTTTGACAGGCATCCTAAAGGGTGCCACTAGGCCAGTGTGTTCACTGATCCCAGCCTGGGCCACCGACTCGGGCCTCAGGACTCACGGAGCGTCACCTCTCCAGGAAGCCACCTCCCACAGGACTCTGTCGCAACAATTCCAGCTAAAGATTCCCTGCCCAGGCTCCATCGAAAAGACGGCCTCAGGCACGTTCTTAGTTCATTACTGAATCAGAATTCACCTGTGGTCATAAGGAGACTATTCTGAATGTGACTTTGACATGGGCTAGTCTCCTAATGGCTTCAGTTTCTTAAAGATAATAAATTTCACTACAGGTGAAAAGTGACGTGATGCTGTTCCTTCTAATGTATCAAACGTTAAGAAATAAAGAACTTTCTGCACAGGGAAGGAAAGCAGGACCCGAGGCCAACACAGAAAGGTAGAAGTCGAACATACAAAAGACCCACCACATGTTACAAATGTGCTCACGACAAGCAAACAAGTCAGATTTTGCTTCCATTTCACTCCTTTGTGGAATGTTTAAAAAGTTCCGCTATAGTAACTCGACAACATTTGCCTTTCTGTCATTTCAGAAGCCCCCGAGTTCAACGCAATCAGTTTGCTCCTTAAAAGCCCAGGTGGCTTTTTAGGCTGTATCAGAGCCGACTCTCTGTAAAGAATACGCGTTCTCCACTTTTTAAAGTCAACGGATGGAGCGATGTGTGTGTCATTCATCCGTGCATTCTGCTACCGCGGTAACAGTCACACAAAGCCTAGGACAGACCGAGTGGTAAAACCCCTAATCGCAATAATTAAGTGACATGGAAGGTGTTTTCAGCGGGGCAAAACAGTTAGCAATGGGACTCAGAGCTGTGTAAGAGAACAGAATTTCTCCAAAATAACTTAAGTCATTTAAACAACTGAGAATCAGGAGGCTTCTCCCCCGGGTCCCAGGGGGTCCTCCGGTCCTGCCGGGAAGCCCCGATAGCACTTCACTCTCCTTGCCGTCTGCACCAGGAGGCTGGGGTGAGTAGCCAAAACATGTGGATTTCATGTCAATCAGCAGGGCCATTCCCGAGTGAAACATTTGGTTTCCAAAGACATTACGAAATATTTGCTCGTACCTGGATGAGAAGACCTAAGCCCCAGGAGCTGAGCTGAATCACCAAAGAGAGAAAAACACAAAAGAAACATCTAGAGAGATAAAGACACTCCTCTAAACACGTCAGCATCGTCAGAGAAATGCAACAGCATAGGAAGCGCCTGTGACAGCACACCGCTGACGGCGTTCACAACGTCGTCACGAGTTCCGAGAAAAAGACAAAGAGCGCATAAGGCTTTCTAAATCTCCTGAAGAGTGGCCGAGCCAGAAAAGTCATTTAACAATAACTTCTTAAAATGCACATTTCAAGAAAGGCATAGGATGGTTTGGATGCACCTTGTTGATTTTTCACTACTCGGTTGGAAAAACAGAAAGACACCTTCTAAAAAGGATTTTACTAAATGCCATTAGTAATAAAAACAGTTGTCATAAACAGAGTGCTTTTCTCAAGTCAGAATTGTTGGATTCTGCCTGAAGTGAGTTGTAATCCTTAAAAGACTCCTTCTCTCAAAAACATGGCAGCATCAGGACGCCGAGGAGGAGACGGTCAGCATTTTGCACGAGAACGTCTCTCAAGCAGCCACCAGACACTCCTAGTCTATCGCCACTGGGAGAAAACTGCCCGGGGTGCTCTGTACAGCGCCTCCCTCATCAAGTTGGCAGAGATCGATTGTGTGGGGATGCACCCTACCCACGCCAGCCTGCCTTCCCCACGCCCGGGTGACTGCACCCGGGGCCTCGGCAAGCGCTCTGATATCAGTCCCTGAAATCACGGCATCCAGCGTGACACTGTGAAGCTCAATGGGGCACATAAGGCAAGAAAGATGTTTAGTGAGGGGGGACGGTGGGGTGGGGTGGGGGTGATCCACGCTTCCCGGAGGCAGGGGTCTCGTTCCGGCATCGCGCCTTCCTCTAGGTGGGCAATGGGTCATCGTCACCTTTACTGCACTTGCACTTGCAGCAAAGTACAAATGGAGTGGCCAAGAGCAGGAAAGGCGAGGCCACCAATAGCAGGAGCCCAAATCCAGCAAAAATGCCCACGACCTGCAGGAAGGAAACACAGGAGCAGAGGGTAAGGTGGCTGGTCTGTAGGTTCCATAGCTGAAATACAAACCACACCACCATCCACCCGGCCATCATCTACCCATCTGTCATTCATTTATGCATCCATCCAGCCACCCATCTACCATCTATCCATTCATCCGTCACCCACCCATCAATCCACCCACTGTCTACCCATCCTGCATCTACTACTCATCTACCCATCCGTCTGTTCATTCATTCACCCAACCCATCTCTCCAGTCGGCCATCCATCAAATGATCATCCATCACCTATCCTATCCCCCATCCACCCATCATTCTATCCTTCATCCACTCATCCATCCATCCATCCATTTATCCACCTATCCATCAATACTTCTTTCCCTCACCCCCCTGCCCTTTCTTTCATTTCTTTTTCTTCCTCTCCCTTTCCTCCTTCCAGCTAAGGGCCAAAACTACCATTCACTGATACATCCAATTAACCAACAAGTCTCCCCTGAGCCACACACTGTATGAGGTCTTACAAATATAGAGACACATCAGATCATGGCCCTTGAGAAGCACCTAGGTCAGTGGAAAGAGACTGAGACTTAACCAACTGACAACAATACATTTCACAGAAACTGCCGTCAGGTTCCAGGTATCAAGGGAGCCCAAGGGTCAGACACCGACATCTGTTAATGGGAAGGAAGGCTCCCTGTGGTACATGCCTGAGATTACAGAGATAAGGGGGCAGTTAGTGCACAGGAAAGACTAGGATAAGACGGGAGAACAGGAGACTCAGACACAGCGCCTTAGAAAGGAGCCAGACCTGTGTCACTCCCAGAGTTTAAAACCGACTGTGATACGTTTAGATTTTGTTTTATAAGACATGCTTATGCCTCGGTGTGAGTCGGTGCCAAGAGGAATAAGCCTCAAATGTAGACATGTTGCCATCTACGTCAGGCAGTGTGGCTGGTTGGAAAAGCAGGGCGTTCACGTCCTGACAGCCCCCAACACTGGCCACAAGACCCCCAGGCAGAGGACAATGCAGAACTGAAACCTGATGACAGAGTCATACCACCACCTAGTGTTCACAAGGACAAATGCGTGAAGGGTCTGGGCACTCTGTTCTAATTCTGACTCCTATGTGTTCCTTCCTCGCTGGACCTCATTTTTCTCAACGAGAAAATAAACAATGAGGTCAAAGGTCTCTAAGGGTCATTACCAACTCTGACAGAGGATACCAGGCTATAGCACCCCAGCTGTGTCAAAGAAAGTAACGTTCCCTTGGATGTCTGCCTGAAAGCCATCACACACATCATGCTGCATTTACAGATTACACTGTGAATGCTAGGAATCCATGTTTTCTGCCCAGTTGGCTAAGTCCGTTTGTCTGAACACAATGTCGGTGCTGGAATTATAGGATGTGCAATCAGATCAGGCTTTGTGCATGCTGATATTTTAGAAAACATAAAAACACCCAGAAAGCTGTTGCTTGGAGGGCCCTCGAGCAATCTCCACTACTTGGAACGTGCTGTCTGCCCCAAAGAAGGGACACTTTATGATCAGAAACATATCAAAATGCTTGACCAAATGCTCACCTTCCTGGCCAATAACACACCCTAGTTTCCACCCTGTTTATCTTGCCTCTTAGTCTGCATGCCATGTAGTAAGCAAGGTCACCCACCCAGTCTCTTGCCGATCAGGGACAGGAGGATGCAGATATTGCCGGAAGGAAAGCAGCCACCAAAATGAATGAGATAGGATGCAAGTATCACAAAACAAAAATAATCAGTGAGTATGTTATCAATGCGTGTCAGGCACTGGATTATACACTACAGGGGATATGGATGGATAAACAGTTCCAGGCTCTGGAGGGAATCATGGCAGAAATCAGTGCTGTTCATCTGGCAAATTCCCAGATTTTAAAGCACAGCTTCTCTGGCCGCCTGGGGTGGCTCAGTCGGTTGAGCGTCCAACTTCAGCTCAGGTCATGATCTCGCAGTTTGTGGGCTGAAGCCCCGCATCAGGCTCTGTGCTGACAGCTCAGAGCCTAGAGCCTGCTTTGGGTTCTGTGTCTCCCTCTCTCTCTCTCCCTCCCTCTCATCCCCCATTCATGCTCTTTCTCGGTCTCTCAAAAATAAATAAACATTAAAAAAAATATTTTTTTAAAAATACAGTTTCTCGAACAGACCACAGCTTCAGAGTAGAGCACAGGTTCCACGACCAGTATAAGCCTCTATGCACGCATGGTGCGTCACCCGTAATAAACGTACAATAGATATTTAGGAGACTGAGCCAGTCTAACAGAAACTGGTACGTTCTGAATCCTCTCCTCCAAAGAGTTCGACAAACCACACTCCAGCGCCTGGGAACTATAAAGCAAAATCAAAGGTGCCATTAGGTGAATGCATGGAGCACCTTTAATTCTCCGACACTTGGCATTTGAACATGACGTTGTTCATGTTCATGAGGTGCACCCAGCACATGCTGGATGTGGCAGAGGCTGGGTCAATGACAGGGGTAAGGGACTGAGGGCTGTGGCCACTCACGTGCCTCTTCCCCATTCAGTGACATCAAGATGGCGGCTTGAAAAGGCAGGGTGGGAGCGTTTACACCACGGGACGCAGCCGCCCCTGCCCCGCAGCCTGCTGTTCAATGACTAGCAAGGTGCTGGAGGCGTGCGCTGGAGACAGGGGGCTCCACAGGGCAAGTGTGCCGGCTGCGTGCGGAGTCTGGCCGTGTGCTAGGTGACAGCTCCCGCTCTCTCCCGCCCCCCCGCCCGCCCCCACTTTGTAACAGCTCCCCATTTCTCTGCTTAATGAATATTTGTTCTGAACCATGTGGTATAGGAAGAATGAGCATCTGTCTTTGTTCTCTGAGAGAACAGGGTCGGGGGTGGGGAGGGCAGCCACAAGCAAGGACAAAGGGCTGAAAAGTTCTGTGCAGATACAGATTCACAGATACGGAAACAGGTGCCGGCAAGTTCAGGGTGGCTTCCCTAGGGAGGCGGCAAGGCCAACAGGTGTGAGCCAGGTGTGCAGGGCAGGTGTGAGCCAGGTGTGCGGGGCAGGGGTGGGCCAGG